AATTGTCTTCAAAAGTCTTGAGGCTATCCTGTTACTTAGGCTTCTTGGTCTTTTCTGGGAGGTCTGCTTAGATGCGCTCTGTTTGCCTGAAAGAAAATTACTTTTCAATTTAGTCTTTAAGTAACTTTTTCTGAATGACCTTGCCCAACTTTGTCATATATGTATTGTCCACAAATTGTACTATAAGTTCATTGAAGAGTCTGAATAATTACTTGCCTGATCTCCTGTCTAGACTTTTTCGAAATACCTCTACTTTAGAAGGATCGGAAAGCGGAATTATCGGAATTATCAAGAAAAATCCAGGCCTTCGAGTTCACAATTTTGGGACATGGGTTCTGAATCTTAACGTTACCGAATTGAGAATACTCCGGAGAGATGCTGCCAATATCTGAAAACTGTCCGTTAATGCCATTAGTGCTTCTGAACCCCGTTTCTGAGTCAGTGATTTTTTCCAGGTCATCCACTCACTGGCCGACTTTGCCAGTTTTTCTAAGGCCTGATAGTACACTATCTCTGATATTGATGTAGTGGCTCCCCTGAATTTCGCTGAAACGTCCAAGTTTCTGTCACTTTTCCTGATTATCTTCACACTTGGTCTGCAGTAACAGTTTTCACTCCTTTGTTAAGCGATCAAGACAGCTTTTTTAAGTTCCTGGAATCTGAATTTAATTTAGACTTCATTTGTTTGGACACTAGCGACCAGTCTGATTTTGGTTTTCTGCCAAGTTGTAGCTCAACGGAGATGAAAACAGAATGGGAACCAATATTAGTAAGAAAAATAACTCAGAGAATGTCGACCGGCCACACACTAAATCAATAGGCACAAAGACAAAAGCAGCAAATGAAAGAAGCACGAATAAAAGACCAATTGGTGAGTGAGCCCGTGTACTGGACGACTTATTTAGAGACCAAACAGAAAAACTAGAACGATTGAAGAGGAAGTACAAAACGGAGGATATCACAGTAAAGATGAGATTGGAAGTGAGGAGGATCAAGCGAGACAAGAAGAACTTCAGAAAACAACTACTCAAAGACCAGAAGAGAAAAAAAACCAGATTTACGAGATACTGCGAACTTATTTCCTCTGCTGGAATGCCCAGTTTACTTGCGACTACCAAACTAGCTACAAAAGAGGAACCCTAAAATTGCTGGAAAATTTTTGAAACCGCAAAACAGGAGAAGCTAGAAAGTAGGAAACCATAAAGCGTGATCAAAAAATTCCCGGTAAGCTAAATAAAATCAAAAATGAGCACAAGGTTCTCAAAAGTAGATGAGTGGACAACTGGAAGATTGCACAGGATGGTGCAGGGTAACCAAAGAGGAGACTGACGTTTAGAGGCCATATAAAGAACAAAACAATTCTTTAGACAACTACGTGCCAACGATCTCCAAATATGCATTTTTTTGCCGCTGCTATCATAGCGCACCAGAAACAGACTCCATGCTCTATGGACCACATTAAAGTTTATGCAGTAAAACAAATTTCGTCAGCCTTTTATATTTCCGCACCAAGAGAAGCATGGACATCAATGGGAACCTCATTGAAATTGAATGTTGCTGCCTACGGACTAGCAGATGCAGCAGGGGACTGGAATACAACCATCTGGTATAATCAGGTGGGAATCAACGAATGCCGTGCAAACCATTTCCTGTCCTATGAAACTGATCAACAAGTCAACAACATAGGATTGCCATCGCTACACATAGACCAAATGACGTTTGGAGGTACTCAGGAGTTTCATGCCAAAGTACAAAAAAATCATTGCAAGAAGTAAACAAAAGGCCCCTGAAAAGAAAGCAAAATTTGATTTTTCGGGGATGCACATCAGCACAAAGACGGACCAAGAAAACAGGCGTTATAAGAGAATAACTCTTACACCAACAGAAAGCAAAAACGGAGAAATCAAAGAAATACAGGAAAATGTCGGCTAAGATGGGATGGGTATAAACCAAGAACAAGTCCCACTATTTCTAACTGAACAATTACAACGGGCATTTACGCTATCTAAACACTACTTAGCGAAAGGACTGAATGACTGTCTGTCATCACTTCACACCTGGCCACACATCGAAATTGTACGGAAATTCAGAAAGATAGTGAAGAGCTACCAATCAGGGAGACAACAAAAACAAAAGATGCTGAGACCAATAACAAGTCCTTTAGAGATAGAAACTTACACATACGTCAGCTACACAGAAAGAGCAACAATGGGTCAAGCCGGAATAATCCACCAAAATTATTCAGCATCAATGGCCGTTTTCCAACCGTCTAGTAAAACAGTTTTCAGTACAAAAAACGACGTCTCTGAACCAAAACTTGACGCCTCGAAACACGCCAATGACGAGATAGTGCTGGAGGAAAGCTCTAATCCACAACATTGGCCTCTCACTGACATTTACGATATATAGTCTTCACAGAAAATCTGACTGTGTTAAAAGCCTCATATTCGCCTTTTTAGTATAAAAGCAGCCAAGAGTAAATCCAGCCGAATAGATTTAGCTCAAATAAGATATGAGAATTTAGATGTACTGTTCATTCACTCAGAAGTCCAGCTTGCAGAGCTTTTGACTAGAGCCATGAAGGGTGACAAACCGTTAGACGTCATGGTGTACCAATCTCTTCAGTACACGCCCAAAAATGAATGGACCTTGATTGTCAGAATGATGGAACACCATGGAGCTTAAAAGGCAGACAAAATGAACTCAGAGCATGAGTACAAGAACTCTCGCATCACTCGGAGGGGGAATTTGCCACAATTGTCAGCAGCGGAGAGGAGGAGAAGAATAAAAAAAATGAAAACAAAAGTCTGCAAATCAATTTTACAGAAAATTCAAAGAAACTTCAACAAATGTAGATGGTGGAAAGACAATGACATCAACCATGAACAATACCACATCAGCCATGACATAGCAGAAAGACGAAGAAAGAGCGAGACGCAGGGAGACAAGGATAGTGAAGAAAACGAAAATGAAAGAATTGAAACAAGGGATACTATGCAGTGAAACAGATAAAACCATCGAAAATTGATTAAAGGAGGGAGTTGGATGCTAAAAACCGTTTAATCCACAAAAATTTAATGAAGAAAAATGAAATCATAATGAACTGCTATCCTTAAGTAATTTGGACGTATGTTGAGACATTAAATTTTGGTTTAGTGATGCAGTATTTTGTAAACTCATTTATCATATATTTTAAACATAGGATTGTAATCTAACTCCTTAAAAGAGGCGGAGGAAATGTGAGAAACGTTATTGGACGACCTTGACCTCTATATAAAACATAGAAAAGAGAGAAAATCTTAACGTGAAATAAATACGTTACTGACAATCTACCTTTTTATCTTAGATTTCATAGCCTTAGTTTAGGTTCTTTAACCGACCATACAAAACTATGTTGAATGTAAAATTTGCGCAAAAAAGTTCAAAAAATATTCAAAAAATAGCGCTCAAAAACTCTTTGAAAGATCTGTTGTCAGAAAAAATTCAACAATTTAGGTTCGCTTACTTCAAAAAGTTATTTAAATTAGAAAAATGAGTCAGAATTTGGAAAAATGGATGTCGAAAAAAACACTGAAAGCTTGTAATCTCTTATGCTGGGGAAGAGGGAGGATGATTTGCATCCTTAAAAAAGCACGCGGCCTCAGAGTTGCAAAGAACTTCAATTGATTTGCGGATAAGGTAACGATGTCAACATTCCCAACAAAAAAGTCAAGGTAGCGTTAGAGAAAACCTATGTAAACAAGAAGGGTCTCTAAATAAAGATTGATGAATTTGGTGATGATGATTAATCACTTTTTCGAAGAAAAAAATGCCGCTATTTTGAAGCTACAGAAGAAAGTTTTTACCAAGAAATTGCGTGTTTTCGGCGCGCGCTCCTCCTAAACAGTAGTGTGTTTGGCTCAGTCCGTCAGCCAAAAGTGGATATCCCAAAATAGCACAAAGGGGGACCCTTTAGGTCTACGGGGAGTTGAATCACTGAAGAAAAAGCGTCCCCCCACTAAATCTGCGCCTGCTGACTGTTTTGAATTCTTTGAGTTGCCGTTCCATTTCAAAGTGGCATAAAACTTTTTGTTTAAAAAAATACACCTTTAACAGTTTTTTTCTTGGTGGAAAAATACGCGGTCTGAGTAGGGGCATTTTAATCAGGGCAGATTTAGGAAAAGGGTCAAGGGGAGGCGAACGACCCCCCTCCCTCTCTCAGGGTTTTGACCCCCTCACCGACCAAAGGGTCCCCCATTTGGAAATATTTTTTACATAAATCCATTTCAGGCCAACCAACCCAAAAAGTTTTCTGTAGGCGCCAATATAAAATAATGTTGAAGGAAGAGCGCGCTCCGGAAAAAGTGCTTATTTTTAATTTTCCAAAATTTGCCCAAATAAATGGCTTTTTTCCCAGTTTTATCAAAATAATGCCTGCGACCAGGGGCGGATTTAGGGGGGGGGGGGGGGCAGGAAGAGGGCGGACGCCCCCACTGGGATTTGACCCCCTGCCGACCCAAAGGGTCCCCCTTATACTATTTTGAGATATCCATTTTGGCTGACGGACGCTTAAATTTTTTTAAGGGCGCCTTGGCGCCAATATACTCAATTTTTACGGGGGGAGCGCGCGCATTTTTTGGATAAAAATTTTCCAAAAGTGGCTAAAAACACCCCTGGTAGGCCCGTTTTTCAAAGTTTTGACTGCGGTGCTAAAATTTTGGTCAAAACAGGGAATCAATTTTGTCGAACATTTTTTAAAATCCGCCCACCCATCGAGAAAATCCTAGATCCGCCCTTGGTTTCAATCAAAAAAGAGAATTCAGTAATATGGATTGAAGAAAATAAAAGAACATGGATAAAATTTTGAAATTCTGATAAAATTTTGGCAAACTCTTTCTGAAGAGTTTTCTTTGGAGAGTACGGAGAATCAATTTGGTAAACCTAAAAAAAAGAACGACAAAAATTATATGTTTTTTAAGAAGTCTGCCGGTCACCTTGAGAAACGTTGTAGTCTTTCAGTATTTGAAAAAAAGACTAGTGAAAAATTAACAAATTTACAGTTTTGGTATTTAAACATCTATATTGTGGATCAAGATTGACTTGCACATAAAAGGACAATTATATATTAAATACCAACTATAGACTATCGCTTGTTCGCCTTCAGTTCTGGGTCTTTTGCGTGCACGTGCAGTTCTTTCAGTTTTTGCTCTTGTGTCTGTCTTAGCTCTTTTATCTCGTTGAAACAGTTGATATAGTGGTTAATATCCTTCACCATCTTGTTCTCACCACCCGCCGCCCCTTTGGGGATCTCGGGATACAATCTGAAGTTCTTGTTCAGTGTCTCGCTCTCGATCAAGATCAGCAGCAACCTGCCCTGGAACTCGACCTTGAACTTAGACACGTCTTGTTGCCACATAGTAAAGTTGGTCACGCCCACAGTTTGACCTACCAAGTGGACAAAAACGCTGTCTGTGAACACGAACATCCTCAGAGACTTGCAGCCTTTCACGCCTTTCCGACCAAGTTCTGTACTCTTGTTCCGACCTGTCCTCTCGACTGTGAGGAACTTCTCCAAGGATATCTCACCCAGCAGTCCAGGGTTCTCGTGTAGAATAGGTTCCGGTACCTTTTCAACGTCTCGCACCCGGCTCCAACTTCTAGCAATTTCGTTCAAAAGTTGCAGACTCGCGGGTGCCGTAAGAGACGAACATTTCTCTAATAGCTCAAATCTGTTCATATCCTTTAGACGCTCCAGAAAGTTGACAAACTGAGTCGACTGTTTGTCTTGGTCTGACACATCGGGTCCAGTTTTGAAAACGATTTGCATGCTTTTGGAGTTTTCAATTTCAAGATTCAGAACCATTGGGGTTGGTGTGCCTGTGGGAATAGAGTATTGCTCTATTAGCTCTTCAGATGCTTTTTCAAAAGTCAGAGATTTTATATCTTTCAGATTGTAGACAGTCAAGTCGGGTAAGTGGTAACCCAGTCCGCGTAGAAATTGACTTGAGAAGCCATCCTTGCATATCTTGACGACAAATTTGTCCGAAAACAAGTAGAGAGTGGCCTTAGAGTCTCTGATCTTTTCTTTTTTGGGCACCGGGTAAAACTCTAGGTCCCTTGGGTGTATGCTCTGGATGAATGCCCTGGGTGTCTTGCTCATCTCAGTCATCTGTTCTGGTGACCAGCCTTTGATGTGATCCAACATACATTCGGATGTCTTGAATCCCAGTGCCAAAGCGCTGATCAAGTTTGTCAACTCTGTGAACACTTCAAAATACGAGCACACATTCCGCACACATTGTAGTGATTCCTCCGACACAACTTCAGGACAAATCTTTTTCAGACTTTTATAGGCTCCCTTGAACAGGAGTAGGAATTGAACAATCATTTGCCACGTGGCAGCCAGGTCAGCCTTGAAAGATTTCTTTCTGGTCGACTTCGTGATATAATCTTCGATCAAGTTTTGGATGTCTGTCTTCTGTTTATTGTCTCGCATATTAGCAACTACATCTTCAAACACCCTTCCGTAGAAGTCGGAGAAAATTACGGGACCTTTTGTTAGGACTTTGATATAATCTGTTTCTAATACAATCTCGTACATTTTCTGTTTGGAAAAAGTGTCCCACGCTTTGTAGTTTGGACACAGTGTTTCGCAGTAGTTCTGAATGACCACATTTACCAACTCATTAAATTGGTCAGTTGCCAAGTCGTCAACTAGTAGCGACCAAACGCATTGCTGTAAATTTAGTCCCAGGTTTTCCAGAAAACTTTTCAGAAGAGTGAAAGTCACAGTCGGGAAGATGTCTCCCAGCTTTGCTTTCAAAGGAGGTGGGAATTTGCCCAGCTCTCTTGAGAACTCGATCAAAGCTGTGATGTCGAGTTGTGATTTGTTGAGCAGCAATTGCGGGAGCTCTAGCATCTCGCCGAAGTGTTTATGCACAAAGCGAACAGTCTCATCACTCGCACCAACCGGCTCTAGCTGGTAAGTGGAGTCGACAGAAATAGCCGACTGCAGTCGCCGACACTCTGCTGTTATGTGAAGAGTTTCCTCCAACTCCACTGACTTCCTGCTACTCGTTTTGCTGTCTGGGTCGCCCGGTTCAAGTAAGTTCGGATCCCCTTTTCTGATTATTTCGCCGTCGTCGCCGTTCTCAACTAATAAAGTCTCGCTGTATATTTCGTCATGTCCATAGTCGTTCATAGTCGGGTAGTCGTCAGTCTCCTCCGAGAGCATGCTCTCAAGTTGTGGAGGCATGCCGTTTGGGGAACTCTCAAGGCCGTGTTCATGCGTTTTGGGCACTAAAGTTTGGTCGGGTAAACCGTTTACTAATTCCGCCCTGTCCTCGTTCAGGGAATAAGGTGCGCCATTAAAGTCCATTCTGAACAAAATAACACACAATCTATGTAAACAGAACTCTAAGTGCTATGCAAAATTTTGAAGAGCACGTTACAAATCCTGAATTGGATTCTAATGATTTAATAAACGAATTTTGTATAAGAAGGTAATGTTGTCTTGTAGATAAACTATCAAACTTGGTATAACAGATTGCCCGAATGGGTTTAACTGAGTCCTTTTGTCTGACAATACCTTTCAAACTGTCAGCCACAATCGTCCGAGAAACACAAAGCAGGTCAGATAAAACCTCGAAATCAAAGAAGACTAAAGAATAATTGGCAACTGGAGACTCCGTAAATGGTTGATGATTGCACAAAAGAACAATAGGATAGTATTTCCGAATGGCCTCGAGAGGATCGATAATTACATGTTATAATTCTTGTAAAATTAAGGCTAAAGGAAATTTTGGGCTTTGCAGCCGTTAGAGATTTGCTTGCCTTATTTTTAAAGATGGTATAAATAAAGGTTGTTCTTTAGACTAGATGAATCAAATGCACAAGACGAGCATCATGAGGCTAAAACATAACATAGCTTGTGATTATTGAAGTCGGGTAGTATTAGTATATTCTATGCTTCTAGATAACAATCAGAAAACCTTATTACAGAAAAAGTAAATAAAGATTAACAAAAAACATCAGCAGCTTGATTGTCCGGCCGTTGTGGTTTGTATTTTACTCAACTTAAATAGCAGATAGCTTTTTGTTTTGCGTTTTATTGAAAATTTTCTGTCAGTATGAGCATCTATCTATACGTCCAAAAATCGTTCAACTAAGTCTAAACGTATTTCTGTTCTCAAAAATGGTGCGGAGGTCTGAAGAAAGAAAAAGGTGGCGTCAAGTTATGAACATTAGAGTGGTGAAGCGGTTTTCGAGTGGTTTTTAATGTGGATTCCGCAGACCTCAAAGCACTCGGCCGCTCCATAGTACGGCTCAACTTTTCAATTCTGTTACCGGTCAGATCCTCAACATACTCACAGTGACATTTACCTCCGCAGGAATTATCCGGTGAAGAGAGAGAGGATTCGTGCATTTTATGCTAATGCATTGTGTCAACCAACTTTGAGTTATGATGTGGGCATAAGATGTGAAAAATTATTTTGAAAGTAAGTTAAAAGAGGCTTACATGCTTACAAATGGAAAACTTTATGGCCAATTTTCTCATCTCACAACACATGGTGCAATTTTTTATCCTTTTCCATCGAATGAGACGGTCACAACACAACGCAATTTCTGAAATGAAATTTGCTGGTGGTTTTTTAATTTGTGCTGAGTGGTTCTTTTGTTGTTTTTTGCCTCTTTCACCCGTGTGGTGGAAGAGCAGCAATAGTTGTGTATCAATGATGCGACAAAGTGTTTGTTGTTTGGTCAGTTTTAATTTTCATATAAAAAGGAAAGGGCGTCGATAAATTCTGGAATATCACAAGTAGGGATTGATATGGAAATTTACACTTCAAACGGGCCGAAAGATACAGTGTTGGGGAAAACAACCTCGACAACTCGATTTCCTTTTACTGCCCGGCCTAAAAGAGATTAGCTTTGAAACTAGATCGCAATTTCGCTAGGTGCTATCATGTTTCCGCACCCAGCCACGGTAAAGAGAGAACAAGCAACTAAAGTAACTGCTGATCATTGGGTGAGGGGGGGGGGGGGGGGGGTAGGGCTAGTCGTGGTGCAATGCAGTGCCCTGGTTGTTTGTAGTGAATGTTGCGGCGTCAGTGGAGCTGTGATTTGGTTTATGGCGACTGTTTGGTCCGCATTTGTGTAAGTTTTACAAGCACTGCGAGGGTATAAATTGAAGGGACAAAATACCATTATTGAATAGACTGTGGCGCTGCTGGCCGTTCTGAGTGGCTAGTTAGTTGTGGCGGCTACTCCTGGCCACTCGACCACTGCAAAAGTGAAAATAAGGCAAGAGTGAAAGCGAGAGTGCTCAATTGTGAAAATAAGGCAAGAGTGAAAGCGAGAGTGCTCAATTGTGAAGTAATGCCTGAAAAGCACAAATGTAGTTACGACTTAGAGCAGAAAGCGATGGTTGCACTGGCGCTTTTCAGTTCCCGCTGCTTCCAAATTGGACGCCCAAAGGACCATTGAAGCACTCTGCTGCCATTCCGGCGGAGCTTAGTTTGTACAAGATTAGGAAATAGAATGCGGAGGACAAATATTTGAAACAATCACATTTTGATATTTTACTTTCAAAAATACTTTTGTTACAAAAACTTGTACCTTGTGATTTCTCATTTTTTGGATGACGACCTTTCGCACCCTAAGTTAGAACGCAAAATTCTCAACAAATTCTAATTTGCATGGGGAAAATAATATCACAAAAAGTGGTAAAATACCGTTTCCTTCTAAGCATAACTTACCCTTGTCGCTAAAACTTGTGGCCGGAAGGAATAGGTATTAGTACTCTGAGAGAAATAGACTGAATGGACCCAAATACAGGTAGATTAAGACGTTGTCTCTCATTCCAGGCGAGCGGGCCTGCCACGAAAACAGTGAATAATATCAATTGGACTGTTTAAAGTTTGAAAGTTGTCCAGCTGACCTGACGTTTGGAAACATTTAGCTCTTAATTTCCCGAGGCAATCTCTGCTGAAATATAAAGATGTTTTTAATTGAGGGTAGCTTGAGCTTCAAACTTGAACTAATAGAAAATGAACCAGGTTACTGCTCTTTGAATTCAACCGGGAATAAGCTGAATGTGTAGAAATGGACGCCGGCCTTCGTGCAGTAGCTGATCCAAACACCCAGTGTCTAAACTGACTCTTAAACTGACAAGTTGTAGCCCCGGGGCTTACCCTAATCAATATTTTACATGATGCTTACGCTTGATTTATGACACGAATCTCTTTTTCAAACGTTGCTTTATGGCGTATGACCTGAGCATATTGATTAGACTTGATATTTAATTAGGATTTGTAAAAGGAAAGTAATAGTGTTCAGTTGCAGCTCTTCTTCTCAGACTTGTGTTTGTTTGAAGGGCCTCTTTTTATTGAGATCCCAAA